AGGGAAGATCTGTTGTGGATGGAAATGCAGAATCATTCATGCTGGAAGGGACCTCAGGAAGTCTCTAGGCCAACCTCCTGCTCTCAGCAGGGTCAGCTATGAGGTCAGAGCAGGTTGCTCAGGGGTTTACTCATTTTGGGCTTGAAAAACTCCAAGGATGGAGATGACACAAGCTCTCTGGGAAATCTTCTTCAGTGCTTGAGTATCTTGATGGGGAGAAAGTTTTTCCTCCCTTGTTTCAGCTGATGCCCACTAGCCCTCGTCCTCCCATCATGCACAACAGTGAAGAGCCTGGCTCCATTTTCTTTCTGATACCCAAGAAGATATGGAAAGGCTGTTATTGGGTCTCCCCAAAGCCTTCTTTTCTCCTGACTTTGCACCTTTGCAGCAAAGGAGGACAATGGCATGCTGGGCTTCATTAGGAAGAACACTGCCAAAAGGCTGGGGGAGGTGATCCTTCCTCTTTACTCAGCCCTGCTACAATTTGTCTTGCTGAGTTCCCTCAGGGTTTTCTACATTACCACCTCACTCGTACTGTAGCCAAAGCTGCCCTCCACATCTTCCACCAGTCCTGCCTTCTCTTCTTGTGAAAAACAAGTCCAGTAGAGCCACCCCCCATGTCAGGGATTACCTTCCAACTTCCCTCTACACAAGGTCTTCTGGCAGAGGTCCATGGTCTTCAAAGTCCCCATTGATTACCACAGCCTAAAACTGTGTCCCTTCCTCCAGCTGTCTAGAGGACAACTCATGCTCTTCCCAACCTTCCTCACGCACTTCAGTGATTCTGATCAGAAGACCATTGTATATCAAGGAGTTAGTAATCCAACTGCATGTCCTTTTATCTGAAACTGCCACAACAAATTCACATGTGAACAGCCTCTTTTGGGGGCAGTAGAATGACTTGAATTTTTTTCCTTCTAAGAAAACACTGAAAGTGATCACAGGAGAAAAATGGGATAACCCTTCTACAGATGGGATCTGCAAGACTTGCTGCACCAGCTGACTAGACAGAAATAACCTCACTGTGATCTTCCAAGCCACATGCCCGCTGCTGGCCTTTCAGCTTCTTGGATAAACACAGCCAAATCGTGTACTTGCTGCTGTCCCATCAGGTACTCAGATGGAAAGGACATGACAACCCATATCCAAGCCCTCCTCCTGGAAGGGCCTACCAGGTACTTAGGGAAAGGGATTCCCACAATCAACTTGCCAACCAGGTGCCTTCTGCTGGCCTATCAGAGACACTGGCAGATGTGAGCTTAAAAGCATATATCCCATCCATGATTCAAGGGCTGACCTATCAACTACCTCAGAAAGAAGTGACCTCACAGTCTCTTTCCCAGCCAAGTTTCTGCTACTGGCCTATCAACTCCAGAGACAGAAGTGAAATCACTGCCACCTTCATGGCCTTGTGCTTCCTGCCGTCCCATGAGATCCTGAGGCACAACTGACCTCACCATAGCATTCCCACCCATCTCCTCCTTGTGGCCTGCGAGTTGATCAGCAACCTCACATTCCTCTTCCAATGCCATGTGACTCTTCTGGGACCTCACGATCCCCCTCCTGCCCCAAGGGGTCAAACTGCTCGAGGCAGGGTGACCTAGATGAGGTATCTCAAAGGCTCCCCTCAGCTTGCCCTCATCTACAAAGGAGCTCCATCCCATCATACAGGGACATAATAAATATGTTCAACAGTGTTGGCCCAAGTGCTGGTCACAGATGAATGCCAAAAGTGACGGGAGGACTCCATACCACTGATGTCATCTGAGCCTGTTCATCCAACATAAGTTCCACCCACCTCATCATCTACTTTTTCAGTCCTGATATCATTAACCTGGCTATAAGGAGACTATAGCAGACCATGTCTAAGGCTTTGTTAAAATCCAGGCACACAACATTGCCCAATTTCCCCTCCCACGTGGGTTCAGCAATGTTCTTCTTTTCCGTCAAGTACCTGGAGATGGCTGCAGGAGGACTTGCCCCATCACCTTCCCAGGGACTGAGGTGAAGCTGACCAGCCTGTAATTCTCCCAATCCTCCTTCTTGCCCTTCTTGAAGATGGGTTTGATATTTTTCTTTTCCAAGGATCTTGGAACTTCCCTGATCACTCTGGCTTTTCCGAGATGTTTGAGAGAAGTCTCATGATGACACTGGCCAGCTACACCAGCACATCTCTACTCCTTCCCAGACCAAAAGCCTTCTCTATATCCCACACTTCCAGAAGAGTGCCTTGGATGCAGCACACTCCTGTCCAGGTCCTCAGGGCCTGTTCAGAAGAGAACCAGAAGTGATTTCTTCCTGCAGGCCCAAAACTTCAATGGCCTCCCTGTGCAGCTCACAGCTTTCCTGAGCATTTTTCTCAGTGCTGCCTTGCCCCCAAACTTTCTGGTCCTCAGGCTGTAGATGAAGGGGCCTGAGGATGGTGTAGAAAAAGGGCTTTATCAAACTGTCTCAGGAGGGTTGTTCTGGGCATCACACAGTGACGCTAATTAGGGGAGAAGAGCAGATGGAGGAGGCTGCCTGCCTGCCCACAATGGACAGAAGAGCTGGCCCAGGGTGGAAGCTCTGATGCACACCCAGGATACCAGGGTGAACAGCAAGGGGAGGACTGGCTCTAAAAAGCAGGTTATGAAAGCAAAGAGCATGAGTGTCAGTATCACTGCAGGAGAGCTCTAGTGGAATCAAAGAAGAAGTGGTCCACTCCACTGGGGACACAGAACTGTGTCTGGGACAAGAATGAAGTGATCACTGTTGATGAGAAAAATCCCCCAACAAAAGTGTAGCTGCCTTCTGGAGACAGACCTTCCAGTTCATGAGTCTTGCAAAAAGAGAAGTGGGTGACACATAGCCCAGTACTGATCGCAGAATGTGGCCACCAGCAGGAGAAACTCCGTACCTGCAAAAGGTGCAGAAAATAGTACTAACACTGCTGTGAGCAGAGATGGTGCTGTCCCCAGTTAAGAAGTTGACCAGCAGCTGGGGCATGGTGGTGGAGCTGTAGCAAGTGTTCAAGTGTTCCGCCCCCAGCATAATGATGAGGGTGTTCCCAAGTCCAATCACAGGGCAGGTCATGAGAGAGGAGGAAGAGATTTGTCTAAGAGTTGGAGACATTCCCCATATGCAGTAAGGGAAACTCCATTGATGATGTCTGATTGTTCCACTGCCCTTTCTCCACAGAGGGTTTTAGGTCCTTCTTGTCCCCTCTTTCCTTGTAGGACACCTGCAAGAAAGAACATTTTTTTCTTTGATAGTTGCTTAAAGACATTGTGAAGGAAGTTCAGAGAGATGAAACATGGAGATGTATCTGCCTCTGACTGCATTCAAACACCCTGGATGTTCTCTGTCTTTTGTGAAAGGTGAGAAATGCTGCCTTCTAGAGAGCAGTGTACCTCCCTTCTAGAGAGCAGTGTACCTCATGGTTGCAGAACCCCTTCTGACTGCACTGGTGAAATGCTCCACAGGTATGCTTCTTTAATAGTGTGTAATGAAAGGGACAGGCCAGAAAGCCAAGGAAGCAGATAGGAGCATTTCTAATGAACCTGTCAAAAGAGAGTGAGAGAAAATTCACTGGGACAGTGCGGGTTGTTCCTGGAGTCACACACAGAAATACCAGGTTCTGACAGTTGTCCACAGCTGAGCTGGCCTCGTGCACTCATCTTACACACAGGGCTGTTCAGAGGCAGGAGCCCTTCCCTTGCATGCACAGGGGCAGTGCAATGCAGCAGTCATAGTGTCTCTCTGGCCTCCTCTTGCCACTCCCAGAGGCTGGGAGGCACCTCAGCCCTGTGGTGTGTCGCCCCGCTCTGCACTTATCTGAGATGCCCCTTGGCATGAAGAATGGACACGGGGACCTCGGTTCAAGGAAGCACATCACAGTGCTACATTCAGGTGGTTTCCAAGAGGACGTTACTCTCAAAATGAAATGACCTCAAGACACTGTCTGTCCCACAGGCCTTCATGGCAACACTAGGAATAGCTGATAGCATTCAGTCCTCACTTGGGTTCATCTCACCACACGTACACAATGTACACAATGTGCAAGTCTCATCTGCACAATGCAAGCACAGACTTCTGAACTAGTTGTTTGGTGTCCCGGCATGGAGGGACAAATAACCTCTCTGAGCTGGGGTGAGAGTTCAGTGCTGGAAATGGTGATTGTTAATGGCTGGTCAGTGATGATTGCTCTGGGGCAGCTTCCTCTGGGTGCCCAGCGAACACTGGCACAGACCAGACCCTGCTCTGCCAGTCCTTCACGTCTCTCCCAGTAAGCCTGGCTATGAAAGGACACTGCCGCGTGCCCCCACCCTACACACTCACACACTTTAGCTGTTCACAAGTGTTTTGTCTCCTGGTATTTTCCTGGGCATGTTCTTGAGAACAACATTAGAAGCAGACCTAAGCCTTCAGGCACTGCCCTTAGAAGATCCCCTTTCATGATGGAAATGCTGTTGTGGACGTCAGCTCTGTCACAGAAGTGCCCATTGCTTGTCCCTGCCTGCTGGCACAAACTGCCACATAGCAGGACTATGATCAAGCTGCTGGTGCTCTTGGGCCTTACACCAACACAAAGGCTCAGAAGGAGAGCGTGGAGGTGGAAAGTGAGCACTCGGGAAGACCAAGTGCTGGTGCTCCCTGGCAGTGTTGCTGTACTGGGACTCTTTTCTCCTCCACCTCTGCACACCTGCACTGCCCCTGCAGCTCCGGAGAAGGTCTTGGAGAAAGCATCTTGGACAAACAAGTCACTGCAGGGTCCTTTATTTTGTTGTAAAATACAGAGAGCACAGCTCGTCATTACGCAGTCTCTGGGCCACACAAGATAGGTAGATACTGAATTAGGAATGGTATGAATACTGACATTTCTTTGTGGACAACATTATTACAACTAAGAAAAGCTAAAAACCAAACCAAACCAAACCAAACCGACTACCAAAGACAGGCTGATCCTATAGTGAATTACATTGTGAGTGATATGCAGAAGAAGATGGGCAGTTTATTGCTGCTTAAACCCATCCAGTCATCGGTTTCCACACTGCATCCTTGAGATCCTTTTACCTCATGCTGTAGATGAGGGGGTTCACTGATGGAGGCACCACCGAGTACACAACAGCAACCTCTGCATACAAGAACTGCCCTGCAGCTCCAGAGAAGGTCTCAGAGGAAGGATCTCAGACAAACAAGTTGCTGTAGGGTCCTTAATTTTGTTTAAATGCACAGAGAGCACGGTTCCTCATTTACACAGTCTGTAACAGGTAGACAGTAAATTAGAAGTGGGATGAATAATAAGATTTCGTTGTGCCCAATATTATCACAAGAAAAACAAGGAAACCCCACCACTACCCCCCACCACCAAAAATTTAGAAGGCAGGCTGGGACTGTAATGAGTTACATTATGAATGTTATGCAGAAGAAAATAGGCTGTTTATTGCTTCTGAAAAATATGCAGTCATCATTTTCCTCAGGGCATCCTTGAGCTCTTGGTTCCTCATGCTGTACAAGAGGGGGTTCACTGCCGGAGGCACCACCGTGTATGGAACTGCCACCTCCAGGTCCAGCAATGGGAAGGAGATGCAGGGGGGGTTCAGGGGGGCTTCAGGTGGGCAAATGCTGCAGTGCTGACAAATAGGGAGACCACGGCCAGGTGAGGGAGGCCCGTGGAAAAGGCTTTGTGCCGTCGCTGCTCAGAGGGGATCCTCAGCACGGCCCTGAAGATCTGCACATAGGACAGCACAATGAAAACAAAACATCCAAATGAAAAACAGGCACTAACCACAACTGCCACACCTGGTAGGATTCTGAGCAGGAGAGCTTGAGGATCTGGGGGATTTCACAGAAGAACTGGTCCACAGAATTGCCCTTGCAGAGGGGTAGTGAAAATGTATTGGCAGTGTGCAGGAGAGCATAAGGAAACCCACTGCCCGAGGCAGCTGCTGCCATGTGGACACAAGGTCTGCTGCCCAGGAGGGTCCCATAGTGCAGGGGTTTGCAGATGACAACGTAGCAGTCATAGGCCATGACAGTAAGAATATAAAATTCTGCTGCGATAAAAAAGACAAACAGAAAGAGCTGCGCAGCACATCCCAAATCAGAGATGGCCCTGGTGTCCCACAGGGAATTGGCCGTGGCTTTGGGGAGAGTGGCTGAGATGGAGCCCAGGTCGAGGAGGGAGAGGTTGAGGAGGAAGAAGTACATGGGGGTGTGCAGGTGGTGGTCACAGGCTATGGCTGTGATGATGAGGCCGTTGCTCAGGAGGGCATTTTTTTTTAGAAAGAGACAGAAGTGCAAGAGTGGCAGCTCCCCCGTGTCTGAAAATGCCAGGAGGAGGAACTGGGTGATGGAGCTGCCGTTGGACATTTTCCTCCTCTGGGCATGGACACTGTCGTGGGAGAAAAAGACAGCAACAAGTTAGGGGAGGGAGACTACTCTGAGCAATACCAAAGCCATTTCCCATGGACCCTCCCCCTTTCACACACAGAGACCCTTTTCTTTTTCTAGGAGACCTTCCTTCAGGTCTGTGGCTGGAGCCCTGCTTGATGCTGGCCAAGAATGCGATGAAGAGCAGGGCCTCTGCCCATGGGCTCTTCATAAATCAGCCCTGCTCTGCAGCAATGGGTTCATAGGAAAGGTGGGGCTAGGGGCCAGTCCTGGCGTTTGACTTTGTCAGATGAAACTGCTCCTAACGCAGAAGGGCCTGTCAGCATCTTCACTCCCAGTGCTAAGGAACCGGGATGGTAAAGGCAGTTTAAAAGCTCTATTTTTTTTTTTAGAGCTCCCCCTCCATCTCCCCTGGGGAGATTTCTTGGATGTCAGAAACCCCCAGCACTTCTGCTGCACTCAGGGAGAACAGAGCAAGTCCTTCAAGGCAAGAGGATTGCCTGTGGCTTAGTGCAGAGTGAGGGGAGCTGGTCTGTCCCTCCACCTAGTTCCCAGTTTTCCTGTGCTTGCACCTTTCAGAGACGGAGGGTGATCACACTCCCATGTTACCCTGAAAAGCCACCAGTCACTGCTGAGAGCAGAGAGATGCACTATGGACAACGAAACGTCTCACCCTTTCTCAAGGTCTCAGAACCCCACTTCTAGCCAAGGACACACATGGCTCATTTCACCAACCCAAGAGCATTTCCTCAGTCGCAGAGTCTTTGCTTTCTCCACGGGACTTTCAGATAACACAAAGCTGCTATGGGACACGTTTGCATCCTGGAGGGCAGCTGACAGATTGGAAGGCCACTCTGAGGAGATAGCCACATCTCCTAATGATGGCATCTCTGTAAGGGAAAAATCAGCTCATTCCCCAACCCTACAGACAGCATTGCCCACAAACTCACAGGTGAGAGGAAAGCTGGGACACTTGTTCCCATGGACACACCTGCATGAAAGGACCCACAAGTTCAGTGTGTGACTCTGCAGCTAAAACTCCCATCCCCAGAGAGCCTGACAGCAAGAACAAGATAACAATAACAATAACACAGTGGAGAAACAAGGAAAAATACAGTGAGGGCCTGGCTGAGAGAGGCAAGGGCAGAGGCAGCGGGGCACTCAGGACAGTGTTACCCAGCTGTGCACGCCACCTCCCAGACACCAACATTGCCGGGCAGTTGCTCTCAGCCCCTGTGCTCTGCAGAGGGATCTAGGCACGTGGCTGGAGAGTGGCACTGCAGCTGGAGCTCTGGCTGCAGAGGAGGTGATTCATGCCTTGGACCCCACTGCCCTGAGGGCAGAGGTTTTGCTGGATGGGAGAAGAGGCAAGAGGGCTAGCTCAGAGGAAGGGGTCTGAATTGGAGGGGATGATAAGGAGATTTCTGAATTCCCCCTCCCACAACATTGCTGGTTTTAGTTTCCTCTCATTCCCTGATCATATCGCTGCTGCCGGGAGATTTTTCTCCTGGTAGCTGTTTCCCTGTCCCATGTCTTCTCCCTGCTAACAGACCCCATCGCAACCTCTGTGCCCTCACCTCGGCCTTACAGAAACCTGCCTGTTTGCAGGGCATGGGCCAGGTACATGTTCCTTTTTGGAGGTTCAAAGGTCAGAACAACCTGATGGGTCCAGCAAAGGTGATGCTGGTGCTGTCCATAGGCAGAGGAGTGGCTGAAAGCACTTTAGGAGGCTATTAGCAGACCTACTGACCACTCAGAGATACAGTTCAGGAGTCTCAATGACTTGTTCAATCTTGACAGGTCCTTCTCTATTTCTCCCTCCCCCACGGCGCCTCTTCTTTCCCCTGCCCTCAGAGTAGGAAATTGAAAACACAGACTCGTGAAATCTCCTTATCTTTATAGTAAAGCCTGCTGTCACCTTCCCCTTGAAACAGCCCCTTGGAAGGTTCCTCATGATGATCTGGAGCTGTGAGTAGCCCTGACCCACACAGCACCCTCTCAACAGCAAAAGGACCCTGTCCTTCCTTGCCAGGGGTCACTCCTTCCACCCAGAGCTTCTCCCTGCAGCACCATGGGGAGCTCCCCGGGCAGGCTGAGTGCTGACCCTGGCAGGCGGCAAAGTCCCTGCCCCAGCACACCCCCTGGGGTGCAGGGACCCTGCTCGGAAGGACAGCCCTGGGCACCCCTAGCTACACACCCCTGCAGCCATCCCCAGTAGAAGGCAGCTGTCATGCCCTGTCCCCCTAACAGTGCAGCAGGGCATCCCTGCTCTGGAGCATGTTCTTCTCCTCTACAACAGAAAAACTGTGAGAGACATCCTGATAGATCCTGTAAACTGTGGGATGTACAAGCTTTAGGAGATCCCTACAACCAGAGACTCACCGTGTCAAGGGCTGTGAAGATTTGTCCTCCAGTGAGCTCTCAGCATCCTCCCCCCACAGACTGCCTCTAACCTCTCTCTACCTCTCTCCTCTCCCCTCGGTGCCTGCAGGCAGTGCCCTCAGCCCTGCTGCACTTTGCAGAGGAGCTGCTCCTGGGCAGAACTGTCTCTCTGTACCGTTGCCCGCTTACTATGAGCTCCCTCCATCCCAGGAGCCCAGCCCAGCTCAGCAGCACAGGACCAGCCCAAGGCAGCACTTTCTCTGCCCCCTCGGGGCTCCCTCCAGGTGTCCCTGGGGCTCCCAGGGGAACCTGCTGTGAAACAGGCTGAAGGAATCACTCAGCGCGGGAGAGACGCTTCATTTCAGCAGTGACATTTCTCCAGTCAGGAAAAGAGCTGGCTCCAAGAATCACTTTTTCTTGGCCCATCTTTAGGCAGGACAGCCAGACCAGGACAGACAGGGATCTCCTTTACCCCTGTTGAGGGAAGGATTTCACTTGCGTCAATCGAGGCATCTCATCCTGGGTTTGTAGTCCTGGGGCTTGAAAGGGATTCAGTTCCCTCTTATGCCTGCCACAAACCCACAGGAGGTGGGATTCCTCTTGCCTCACTTCAGGTGGGCACAAAATGGGGACCTGCATGTGAGCTCCTTTTCTAAGGTCTCATGGTAATAACTGGAGATGGAGGCCAGGAGTGAGGTGTTCAGATGCAAATGTCTGCTGACATGTGAGATGCCAATGGTGGTCTAAGGTAAGTGCAAGTACCTGCAAACTCAAATTCCAGTTCATAGTGACAGGGCAACATCTGTGGGCATCCTCTTGGAGGCTGTTGGGAATTTCCTTTGGCCAACTGAAATGACAGCTGATGCCCAAAATAAGGGCAACTGAATCTGTCCCCAGTCATTATGCTCAGGGTGGCCTATGGAATTATTCACCCGAATGATTCGAGTCATGTGCCATAGGGAGAGCTCAGTCTTTGTCTTCTGCTGTATTTACTAGATCTTCACTGACTACATTGGCAGTTGCCTCATGTTCAGCCCCACATTGACTTACAGAATTCAGGGTATCTACTCCATTTCACGTTCAAATCCAGGCCCACAGAGCTGCATGAGATGCCAGGGCTGGCAGGGACAGCACAGGACCTACAGGAAAGCAATTCCCATTCAGGGTGATTGCATGACAGACATCCCAGATGGCATCGCAGACAGTGTGATTTGGTTCCTGAGTGCCCTTGAATGTTGCCATCAGTCAGAGGCATCAGTCATCAGATGCCATCAGAGAGGCAAGGTCTGTCCCTTCTCTACCCAACAGCTGCAGGCGTTGCATGAACACAAAGCACATCAGACTGGGGTCTTTACTCTCTCCCTTGATGATACAGTCAAGGAACACACCAATCATCTTCACAGTGTGCCTGGATACATCTTGTCTTCAAAGATGACATCCTACAAGCACAGCAACAGTCCATATCAAAACTCAATTGAAACTTGAAAAGGAATTCAAAGGCTCTGAGCTTTTGGTACTTCAGGAACAGCTAAAGAAGAAACAGAGATACTGTGGGACCACTGCTAAATTTAGAAGGAGTAGGTGTAGGTAGATCTCAGTTACCACCTGAGAGGTCTCGCAGGCCTTTGTGCTTTGAGGCAGGACACAGGATGGGAAAATCCAGTGGTGGATGGGGATCAAGCCAGGGGTTACTTGAGCAAACTACACCCTTACCAATCCATGGGACCGGAGGGGCTGTATCCACGGGTGCTGAGAGACGTTTTCACCAGGAGGTGCTGGTCTGTTATGATCCCAGTAAGAAAGGCCCTCAGACTCTGTAAGGCATCTTTTAAAATGCTGTTCATTAGTGCTAACACCATAAAGAGAGAATCATATAGCTAATCTTCTGTCCTTCTAGATGGTGGAAACCCCAAGTGGTGTAGCATTGAATGGTCTTCCGACCCACACACAGCATAGTATGCAGACCCCATCCATAGAATAGTCTCCTGGTTTGATAATTCGAGGTACTATAGGATTTTCTTACATGGAAGCAACACTATAACAAACTGACTCTTTAGGAAGGACAGGCAGGGGAAAAGAGGGGGTGTCGCCCTTTATGTCAATGACCAGCTGGAGTGCATGGAGCTCCGCCTGGGGATGGATGAGGAGCTAACCGAGAGCTCATGAGTCAGGATTAAAAGGAGGGCAGGGACAGGTGACATTACGGTGGGGGTCTGCTACAGGCCACCTGACCAGGAAGACCAAGCGGATGAGGTCCTCTACAGACAGATAGGAGCAGCCTCACATTCACAAGCCCTGGTCCTCATGGGGGACTTCAACCACCCCGATATCTGTTGGAGGGACAACACGGCAGGGTGTAAGCATTCTGGGAGGTTCCTGGAATGTGTCGATGATAACTTCCTTCTCCAAGTGGTAGAGAAACCAACGAGTAGAGATGCTGTGCTGGACATTGTTCTCACCAACACGGAGGGGCTGGTGGAGAATGTGAAGCTCAAGGACAGCCTTGGCTGCAGTGACCATGAAATGGTGGAGTTCAAGATCCTTAGGGCACCAAGGAGGGCGAACAGCAAGCTCACTACCCTGGACTTCAGGAGAGCAGACTTCGGCCTCTCCAGGAAT